AACGATCGGCTTATCTTCGTCGGAGCTCCTGACACAACTAGCGCACCTCGTGCTTGCATAGTCACGTGCACCTCCACCGTCGTCATCCCATACAACTATCCAGGTACTTTGCACCAGTGGCTGTGGCTCATCACCGCTTCTCCTCATCCACCGGTACTCGCCTGCGTCTGCCATCAGACCCTCCTTGCAACCTTGTGCTACATATATCACCTCTCTCCTTTCTCTTATACTATCAAGAGCAGTATCTGATCTTCGTTGTGTCATTCTCTGGTCCCAGTCTACTACGACCGCTGGTTGGCTGACCCTGCGACCATGAAGCTCATATCAACCGCCGCTACCTTGCTCGTTTGCCTTGCTCCTCTCTCCACCTCAGCACGGTCGATCTCCTTCTTCGATTCCGCGCAGGCTCCAATCCAACTTGAGACCTTTCCTGTCAATGGGGATAACCCGTTAGAATACTGTTCCGACCCTTCGGACAATATCCTGCAGATCGAATCAGTGGACTTGTTTCCTAACCCTCCTCTCCCGTACGTACTGGCAGTCCCTATACCGTATAGTGTCGGGTGAAGAATGATTGACTGATTCTTGGTCACAGTGGCCAAACTCTCTCTATCAATGCCAGTGGCAACTTGACGGAACGGGTGGAGGAAGGCGCTTATGTCTCTCTTGTGGTTAAATACGGTCTCATCACCCTGATCAAGCAGACCGCCGATCTCTGCGAACAAATCAAGAATGTGGACCTTGAGTGTCCCCTGGAGAAGGGCGAGATGACCTTGACTAAGCAGGTTGATCTGCCTTCGCATATCCCTCCTGTACGTTGACCTTCCAGGCTCGCTGGTATTTTGATGGCCAACACATTACTAACGACGATGAACAGGGGAAGTACAACGTCCATGCCGACGTCTATACCAAGGACGACAAGAAGATTACCTGCCTTGATGCACACAATATCGAGTTCAAGGTCCGGCCATGAGAAGATGTTGGCTACCATCGCTACCCTTCCACTGGATGATCACTGATGTGTCTTTCGAATCTGCTCCTACATACTTACGATCGCTTGATGAATTGCCCTTACGAGCCTCTGTTCTCTGTTTTATTCTTATGTTCGCTGTAAACTGCCATAGTCCTCCACAGTCAAAGTTGCATGCTCTTGGTTATATCCGCTTTGCTTGATTAGATGATGTGCTATATCATCCGGCGTCACGGCAGATCGTCATCACGTGCTTCTCGTCATGCCTGCACAACTATGTATATGCCTGAACTACCGTCTAATACAGAGTCTTCATTCGAGTAATTCACGACTCTCAGAAAGTAAAGCGGAGGACAAACATAGCAACCATCACTACTATGCAGTGCGCGGTAGTATCTCCGAGAAGGACGATTCCAATGCCGCTCTCTCGGACAACCAAGCATCCTTTCGGCACTGAAAATATATCGAATTCTATGTGCATAGATCCTAGATAATCGGGTATCTTCCCACGACTCACACCGCGCGCACGACCACCCTAGAACACATCTTAACAAATGAAGGTGCTGAAAACAAAAGAAACCTCGTAGCTGTCGTCTATTCTCCAAATAGCCGCCGCACGCGCTTGAGCACACTGTCCTTCTCGGGGTCGTAGGGGTGGTCTTTACTCGGGATCTCGAGGACGGCGGGGAACGGGTCGGCGAAGGAGTCGACGCTGTGTCTGATGCGTTCGGCAATCTAATTCTATGAGCCGCTGATCACAGATGAGGTAGAATGGAATAAAACGTACGTGTTGGTTGATCAGCAGCACGGCAATGTCTTTCCGCTCCTGAGTGAAGTTCTGGAACGCCTTCTCGATAGCAGACGTTTCGGTCTTGGAGTCGACGACGAGGAAGTTCCGCTGGGCGTCGGGGCCATCTGTGACGTGCTAAAAGGTTGTTAGTTGTGCTTTTCGAGGGGATAGTATGTCCGCGTGATGGTATACGTACACCGATACCCGCGAGGAGGAGACCAGTTACGGAGCTGGATGCGATTAGCGGTGGTGGTTCTCTCTTTGTGTCTTGCTACCAAAGGTGCTAGTTACTCTTCGTCGCCGATGACGGCGAGGAATTGCCGTTCCTAGGGTTCAGAGGGGAGTCAGTGATATGGCCATGTCAACGTGGGGATATGCGAGTGTGGATGTACCTTGTAGGACACCGCCGAGGCTGCCATCTTTCAACGAAGAAATTCGGCTGGACTGAGCCTCTGGAAATAAGTAGAATCTACCCTGCAGAGCAGCTACCGTGGGCAGATCGATCAAGTCAACAATGAACTTGTGGATGAAGGAGTCGTGTCCCGATTGTGGATAACCTCTTCAGTGAACGTTCGTCATAGCAGACCGCTGCGGCTTATCTAAGCGGGACCGTGATGTGTTTGTTGTCTAGCAGCGGAACGGAAAACTTGGCGTATGTTTGTCTTTTTGTCGCTCCTCAAAAAGTTCCTCTTGATAATTAAGTTGCCTGGGCGGAGCTCATTTGAAAGGTAATGAGACGGCCCTGGTAGCGAGCTCCAATATCTGTGCCCCGTTATCACCATGCCCCGGCTTGTGCGCCGCCAACCGCTCGCGGAGCGCATCAGATCGTACTTGAATCCACTGGACTTTTTGCTATGGCTGTCAGAGGAGATCGATGCCAATGCTTGGGACCAGTTTGAGAAGGATTGGGCGCTGCCTTTGGGCGTTGTTCTCAATTTAACCTTCCTCATTGCGAGGGCGAACAGCCGATCGAGTGGCAGCAGAGCCATTGACGATGTCTTCGGAGATGATGGCGGAGTGCCGTGGATGAGCTGGTTTGTATGTCGCCGACAATTCAAGGAGCTTGCTGGGGGTTCACAGAGGATGAGTCGCTAATTGGTGGTTGCTGGTAGGCTTCCTTCATCGTTCACCTACTCGCGTGCTTCAGCGCGTTCAATACTTTCTACACCTTCTATCGGAAGCGACTCTACCGTCTGTTTGAGGCTTCGATAGATCAACCACCGGCTACACCGTCGGCTCGCCGTGTCCGTGTCGATTCAACGCCTATGACAGCTTCGCCGTTGCGGTACTTTGCAAACGTTATTGCCGGATCTGCTGAGTCCCGGGCGCATCCCGACGCGCAGCGGGATGTCTGGGAACTTGCAGTTTGGGATCCTCTGCCGATTTGCCTTCGACTGTTCTGCCTCTTCAGCCCCGGACACGTCCTGGTATACTGGGTATTTCTGCCTACGCAACTGTCCGATCCCCGGCCGAGCGTTACTATCGTCACGACTATCTTCATTACAATCCTGCTGTCTGTGCAGATGTCATTCCTCTCGTCCTCCTTCACTCAGCAAGCCAAGGATTCCATGGTGGTTCACAAGGAGGTTCTTAATGAATACGACACCAAATTTGTCCATCCGCGGACCCAGCCCGTGATGAGAGATGTTGGCACTCAGTTCTCCGACCCCAATACCACTCAACCTGGTTCCGATGCCAAGTATAACAAGGTGGACACGTTCACTCCTACCCGTGTGATCCACCGAGGATTCAAGACCAGTCCCAACCCGAACTATGTCAGTTTCGTCGACCCTGAGGGGGCATCCGCCAGACGTCAGACATTCGCTACGCCAAATACTTCTCACAACTATACGTCGCTGCAAACACCCAGCCATTTGCGAGATGCCTCCCCGGTTGTACGAGGCCCCGTTGCTTCCATACGTCAACCGCACTTCCGACCCACACCGAGTGCTACAGGCGACGGCGGCAGTTTGGGGGTCTTCTCGCACGCGAATTCCCCCTTGAGGCGATCTACGCCGGCCAATATCGACCGCCGGGTTCCGAATCCTCCAGATTTCTTATTCAAAGACCGAGGTACTCCTATGAAGAGGCTATCAAGTCCCTTGAAGAAGAGCAATGTTCCTGGCAGTACAACTCCGTTGACCCAAACACCAAGACGAACTCAGAATGACCCTCGTCGTGAAACGGGTCGCTTCTGAATTCAGTCATGGGATCAACCATCTCGCAAATTGACGAAACAAGAAGAATTGCCGATGTATTGTTGCCGTGCACGGGTCATTCTACCATCCTGTCATTTGTTCATTAAGCGTATACACCCGTGTAACCATGACTTTTTCCAAGCATTTGGCCTTGGCGTTTGGAGGACCACTTCGCTTTCACATGATTTTCTATTCTCTTAATGTCTTCATGACGTCTCCTTTCCGGAGTGCAATTCAGAGCCGTCCTGTTTCTCTGTTTACCGGGAATGTTGGCTGGCGAGGGTGACCAGCCACTGTAGTATAATCATGTTCCGTCCCGGGCACAGCGCGGTCTGGCCCATTGTTGACTTGGCGGTACTACGGAGTAAAGTCTGGACTATATTTTCACAGAAGTGACTTGATTTCGAGGTGAGGCGGTTCTCTCTGTGTTGAAACTGGTCGAGAGGATACTGTGTTTGATTTTGTGAGATACCCTGATACCCTTGATCTTGATCCTTTTGACGATCAGTATTTCCGATCTACACAAATCTGCCATCACTTAGTCTACTCTACGATCATCTTGTCCCACTTCATCAGACAGACTGCCGACATTCTCCTACGCGGCTGCAGTTTCCATTCCAGATGGTGGGCAAAACCAGCAGGCGCGCATTCCGCAGCGATTCCTTCAGTCCGCGTGTGTGTTTGCTGCTACATTCCACGGCATGGCAAGTCGGATCACCTAGCATTCCGCGCATATAATTACAAATCTGGTCATATTCTTTTGTCAGGCTGGGAATTATTCTTTGGCTGGGAACCTGCCACTGCACTCGGCGGGCCAGTGCACTTGTCCAGTCGGTCTTTTCTGGCAAGCACTTCGCCATGCTACAGCGATCCTTCATCCTCAGCCTCAGCATTCAACGAAATCATCGTCAAAGAGCCCTGAAGCCGATCGGACCAAAGTCAACAACAAGATAAGTGTCTGTTGCTCAAGGAATGGGTAACTGTGGAAGGTCAACCTGGCCTTGAAGTCCAGCCTGTCAATAACCGTCACTTTCGATACAGTATGGATGAGCTTTTGCACTTACACCAAGGGCATTTCATGAACCTTTCGCCTCGAAGGCGCCATGATAAGCGGGAGGAGTTGGACGTGGAAGCAGTAGAAAATACGCAGCAGGAGAGAAATATATCAGACCGCGGTGGAAGCCCAATGAATTCGAGGAACAGTGATTCTGGAACTGGAACTCCAACCATCGTGCGAAGGACCAGACCGACGAAGCTTCCTCTGCCCAGGGATCTCGCAAGCAAAGCCAAGGAACAACAAAAAGATAAACCTGCTACGCCTCAACATCGGGACTATGGCTCTCTCGGAAACGTCCGACCAAGGAAGTCGCCTACAACTTTATTATACAGCAGTCCGGAGGAGGTGACGGACAAAGATCGAGAGCAATATTGGCGGAAGGTCAGGGATAAGTTCGAGAGGGAATCCCCCTCGGCGAAGAGCCAAGAGAAAGATAAAGAGAAGGAGAAGGACAAGCACAAAGAGACTTACTACGGAGCCTACAAAAAGATCATATCGCTGGCCAGCTCTCCAAAGAGCGAACTGGTCAAACAGAGACTGAGGTCGGCCGGTGGCGACCTACGGGGAAGCCCAAAGTCGCGGATTGCGAGCCCCATCATCCATCCTCGGCTTCGTCCAGGCTACAGCTCTCCCAGCAGATTTGACAACCAGTTCATCAGTCAAGGGAAGCGACAGCTCAGTGGAGTTCAACGAAAGAATTCTGATACGGACGAGAGCATTCTGCACTTTTCTACGGACAAGGCGGATAACGCTACCGACTCGTCGATTAATTCTCACTCTTCTCTGTCACCCGTGTCGGGCCCGAGCAGCTCGTTGACGGAATGGGAGGACAAATTCGTTGTCAACATGCCATCCGCCAAAGAGCCAAACCCACCAACAATGAGTGCACAGCAGATTGCGGAATTCCAGCAAAGCATCGAGCGGGTGCACAACGACGGGGGTGCCATGCTTGATCCAGACTCTCTGCCTAGTCCCCGTACCGGGACGCCCGAAGACAAGGATTTGTCTGCTGTACAGCCTGCGAAGCCGACCTCGTTTGACGGTCAAGATCCTCCTCCCCCACCTCCCCATTCGGCGGGGGTTGAGGAAAGTCCGCCATCCCAACCAAAACATCCGAGGTACTACTGTCCCGATGAGATCGGCAAAAATCGCATCAGTACAATATGGGAAGAATCTGCCTTGAAATCCGGAAAGGATGTACCAAATGTCAATCCGGATGGCTCTTTTTTAGGGTGCAAGGAGATCAATGGGCCCAACGACAAGAACCCGGACGAGATCCTCCTGTTTTCGCCCGTGGATCGTCCCCGGGTAGTCGATGTGCCGAGTCCTATGTCCAGAAGCCCCAAGGAAAGGAAGATTCAAGTGGTCCGCCAGAGGAATCCGGACATCGGAGAGAAGACCGTGGCTCGAGAAGAATGGAAACCAGGTACTCCGAATTTGAAACTTGTCCAATGCTCGAAGCCATCACCGAGGACCGTGTGCCGCGAGACCAGCTGCCAGCAACCAGAAAAGACGGCCCAGGACTCGAGCAAAGCGGACCGCGAGTCCCCGCCACCTTTAGGCAAGCGCCTCGAGGACAGAAAACCGACTCCCAGGGACGACGATGTGTTCATTATCACACCCACTATCATACGCACTATGGTGAGCATGTCCGATATCGAGGGTGCGGCGCAGAAGGGACCTCCCGTCGGAATACCCACGTCGCGCACTGCAGGCGACATTATCACCGACGCTCGGGCAAGACCGCAAGGAAAGCCTTCGCCACTAGGACTGAGACGCGTGGCACAAAACTCGCAGGAAAAGTCAAACGTATCGTCGCCCGTGCCCTTGCGAAGTGCTCCTGTGCGGAGTATCCCCGTGGTCAAGCATCGAGCAGAAGCCGGAATGCGCAAGGTCGAACAGTCCCGAGATATGCGTGGGTTCATCCGTATGCCAGGCACGACACTGCCGTCTGCAGAAAGTCAGGCAGAGCGCACCGGAAATAACCCACCACAATCGCGTGCTTCGAGCACTGGATCGAGCAGCGAGAACTCGCAAGTGAGACGAGTTACGGACTCCGGTCAAGGCGGCAGGTCGTCACTGGTTGTTAATATCTCTCCAGTCGGTTCGATCGACAGAGGTCAGCCAGATGGTGGTAAGACAGTGCCAGAAACGACTAAGGTGATAGAAGTAGCGGAACTGGACGGATTACAAGTGGTAGAACACAAAGCAAAGACGCCGCCGCCTCGAATCACTCCGTTACACGCTGATCCGCCGAACATGGAGATGGAGATGGAGGTGGCGAGTCCCACCAAGAGTGCGACAAATGCGCTGACCCTCGCTCTGATCTTGGAAATCTTCGTCCTATCAGCCGCTCAAATGGAGGCCCTCTGGCAGAGACTCGTGTCAAATCGGCATTCCAAGACCGCCCTGCTCAAGATTGCCATTAACAGCGTTCTGCAGATGCTCGAGCATTGCCTTCAGGTTCTCCGCACATGGTTGACAGTCTTTTCCGTTTACAATGCCACTGGGGTCTGGCCACGACCGGCAGAAGGCGATCTCGCTCGGTCTGTGACGGATATCTGTCAGGCGATCGCTTACCTCGTTGTTCTGTGTTTTATGATGATGGTTGTTGAACGGGCAGCCGGGTACATAGTCCTTGTTGGAAGTTGGGTTGTATGGTTTGCGAAGCCTTTTGGATGGTTCTTTGTAGCGATAGGAAGGGCTCTCTTTACATGATTCTGCAAGTGGGCGAGCCGGATGTTTTTCTCGGCACGAATGTATCACATAATACTGCTGCATGGATGGCGCCAGGGGTTCTGGACTAGTATTTTCAGCTATCTATCATTACCAGGCGGCACCCGCTCTTTGACTGGACTATTCTTACAGGCAGATAAATATGATTTCTACTTGTGAACTTTGTGATAGAACAAACAAGAAGTGATGTGACTCGAAAGCACTGACTACTGTAGTCTTGTAGACCACGTATATATCTGTTTTTCGAATGTTGGAGGCTACAGGTGTCTGCGTATCGACTTTGACTATGTCTGCTACCCAATCTTAGCGCAAAGACAAGAGAACGCATCATCGAATAGAATCGTCGATGCTCTTTGTACTCTTCTAGGGGGAAGACCCCCTAAACCGAGAGCTGGAAAGACATACAGTGAGGAGAGAAGAAAAGAGAAGGAAAAATACAAAAAGAAGATGGAAGGTGATGAAAAAGACTCCGTATCCCGTGTTGAAGAGGGTCACTATTGCTCTTGAAAGATTTGACCGACTGCCTACCCGTTGAAACCAAACTCCGTCATCCGTCGTGTATGTTGAATTATCGTCGAAGGACCCATTCCTTCTATAGAAAAAAAAAAAATATGCTTTTCTGTCTATGCAAAGCCTCTTTTTGTTGGAAAAGAGGCAATGTGAGCAAGGACATTCTGTTCCGTAGCGTCTAAGCTGATACCACAATAGATGTTGAATTTCGTAATCCTTCTCGCTCGTGATCAATGATGAAAGAAAAAGATGAGAGGGGTATATGGGAAAGAGAAATGTTGAAAAAAAATGTTGAAAGTAAATAACGCTCAGGGAAGAAATCGTTGAGAGGTCTTCAGTCGTGTCGCCATTAAACATGATGCCCTGGGTTTTTGGAATTGTGTCCCCGGGCTGGTATCGTTGAGATAGATGTTGAATAAGGGGTATGAGAGATTGGAGAGAATTTTGGAGTAGAAAGAGTCAAAGGCAGGATTTGAGGCTATGGCTCCTGGCCTTAGTTCTTCACGGCAAGTTCTTCGGGGGCTGCTCCGTTTGGTTGGGACTTGATCTCGACTGTGTCGGAGCTGACCTCTATGTCAAGGTCTTTCACTTCCAGTCCGTTGAACAGGTCGAAGAGATCATACGTGTTGTGGAAGTCGTTGTTAACTAAGATATCCAGGGTTAGCAATTCGAATACATGCAGAGAGCGATCCGCAAACTTACCGATGTTGACCAGGTACCAGTTGTCCATAATATCCTGGATCAACTTTCGGCTAGGGCTGCTGGCATCATGACATTTGGCCCAGTCTTCACCCAGGCGGTATGCCTCATCCTTCCAAGCTAAGAAACTGATCGTCTCCACAATGGTAGGCTGGACGATTTCTCGTCCGGCGAAGATACCCCAAGTCAGAGCATTAGGGCTGTCACGAGTATTGGTCCGCAATTCGCGATTCTTGGCCACGGCATGGTAGGTCATGTCGGGGTTCTTCTCGATCCGAGCGATCAGCTCGTCAAGCAGGTAGGGAGGTACAAAGAGCTCGAGGTATGCCTTCTGGTAGACGAAGCCGTTCTTGGGACCCCAGCCATATACAGGGTGAGACGATCTCACGCCGTTCACGGCAGGTTGCGAGTTGACTGTGAGTAGACCCCTGCTGTTCAGCTGGACCAGGTTGTTCTTGATGGCATTAGCTTCGCCACTGATCGGCGAGTCACTCCATGGCAGGCGGTCCAGCTTCCCTTCCAGGTAGCGAACGAAAATCTGCGTTACATCGCGAATAGACTTGGGCTCGCCCCAAAGTTTGATGTTCTGTTCGTTTGTACCCTTGAGGCCGATGCCATAAGCGTCGAGCTCACCAAAGGCAGGGGACCGAGAGTCGGTCCAACGGCCGTTCGGAAATTCATCCCATGTCTGTGTACGGGCGATGTAGGAGGAGTTTCTGTTGCGCCAGAAAATGGGACGGACATCCTCCCCGCGGCGGTTGAGCGCGAGTGACGGCCGCCAGGGCAAGGGTCTCTGAAGCGGGGTCTCCTCCGAGGGAATCAGTTTGAGTTCCTCAAGGACTGCCTGGGTCGCTTGTGCCAGGTTCATGGTGTAGCTAAAAAGGTCGCAGTTAGCCACATGAAAAATAGGGAGCCATAGATATACTGGGTAGGAATAAACTCACAAATGCAGGTGCTTGACGCCAGCCGCGAGGAGACGTCGGCACATGTCCGCAATCAGCCGCTTTCCGATCTCCTTGACAGCAGCATCGTCATTCTTCACCGGTTCCAGAGCCTCGAGCCAGTCTGGTGGGATCCGCGCCTTTGTCCAGTTCGCTCGTCTGATGAATGCGGCATATGTGGAGATAGGCATGATACCGGGAATAATAGGCACTGTGATGCCCTTGGCACGGCATTTCTTGACCCATTCAATGAAATTGTCTGTATCGTAGAACATCTGCGTGACGACGAAGGAGCTTCCAGCGTCGACCTTCTCTTTCAAGTGATCGATCAGCTGATCCACGTCCGGGTTGTCGTCTGCGCCTTCAGGGTAACCGCCCACACCGATGTCGAAATGATTGCCGTACTTCTCCCGAATATACTTGACCAGATCCTTTGCGTAACGGAGTCCTCCTTCAGTGGCTTCCCATGCCTCTTTGTCACGGGGCGGGTCACCGCGAAGCGCCAAGATGTTGGTGCAGCCTGCCTTGTAAGCAGCACTGAGTGCAGCATTCACTTTTTCTAAGGGCATGTCTGTGCAGGTCAGATGCATGCAAGTCTCCAAGCCATACACCGATTGAGCGACATTCACCATCTCACACGTCAAATCCGACAACCGACCACCAGCACCCCAGGTGATGTCGATAAAGGAGGGTCCTAGAGAGTGCATCCGATCCATTCTGTCGTAGAGATTCTGGACACCCTGGGCTGTCTTCGGAGGAAAGAATTCGAAAGAGATACCGACCCTCCCGGCGGACTCATTGTCCGCGAGCATGTCTTTGACGTGCATCTTGATATATTACAGTCTGTCCGTGAGCAACAATTAGCTTCACATCGGGAAAGGCCAAAGACCGCCTAAGTTTAGCCGGTGTGTCGGCGACGAGTGCAAAAAAGCAAGTGAAGTACTGGGTGCTAGAATATGCAAGAAAGCAGAAGTGTACCGTACCTGCAACAAAGGTCGACTTATCTGAGCTCGCCTGCCGTTAGATGTCCTTCAGGAGCTGTGGATAATCGCCCCGTTTCGCCCACCGATCTCGCCAGCGACTGCGATGAGTGTTCAAAGCCGCAAGTCAAAGTAAACAATGCAAAACAAGACGTTGAGAGGAACCAAAACGACAAAAGTAAGATCAGCAGAAAAACGACTGCAAGGTAAATGCAGCAGAGCAATGGGGAAAAGAACCAGAGAAGCGGGCTGCTTGAGAGCACCGGTGTGAGTCGGTGTCCCTTTCCGCTGGAGAGGCCGGATTTCGGAGGACGTGGCCGGCACGTGGTTTCCACTTAAATACTCAGCGAGCAACTCGCAAAGGGTCGAAAATTTTAGATTTAAGTCTATCACCAAAATCTGCTTAAAGCAAGCAACAATACTTTCCTACGCTACAAAATTCCAGAGTACTAAGTGTAGCATGGGGGGTTTGTAGTCTGTACTAATCCACCGGAGGACAAAATACGGGGAGCGCCGATTGACACCTCAGGCCACTATCACCCCGCTGTTTTGCCCCTCCTTCTTCGGCGGATAAGGAAAAAGTAGATGGAAAAAAGAAAAAAAAAAAGAGACGGTTTCCGTCGAACTATACTCTGGTCTCTGCATTCGGTGATATAAGATATTCGGTCTATTTTTCATAGTTTTCCCTCATAACCGCTCAAATCCAATTGCCAGAGTCAATTAATCCCACCTATCAATTCACAATGTCTGCTTCCGTTCCTCCTCCGACCGCCGATCAGGATTACAAGGCGTCACTGCTCCCACTACTGATCTCCAACAACGTCCTTTCTTTCGGCACATATACCCTCAAGTCCGGTCGTGAATCTCCCTACTTCTTCACTTCGTCTCTGCTTCACACTGCACCACTCCTCCGGGCCACATCTGCCGCCTACGCCAGCGTTCTATCCGCCGAGCCTTTTGTAAAGACTGCCGCCGATGGCACACTCAGTCCCAACTTTGATATCATTTTCGGGTACTTTCTTCCCTTGGAGCGTCTATATCCCTTGATTTGAAGCAGTACTAACCGGTCTGATAATAGTCCTGCTTACAAGGGCATCCCCATCGCCGCGGCCGTGACCAACGAACTGGCCGTGCGTGACTCTATCGCTGGAACCCACACCTGGGACAATGTCAGCTATTCATTCAACCGCAAGGAGGCCAAGGATCATGGCGAGGGTGGAAATATCGTCGGTGCCCCATTGAAGGGCAAGCGGGTTGTCATCGTCGACGACGTGATCACGGCAGGAACGGCCCTGCGCGAGGCTGTAGGCATCATCCAGAAGGAAGGCGGTATTGTCGCTGGTGTTGTTGTCCTGCTCGACCGTGAGGAGAGGGTCAGCGATGCGGAGCCCAAGAGTGCTGTCGGCGTTGCGCAGAGGGATCTTGGAGAGAGCATCCCCATTCGGGCTGTCATTGGTCTCCATGATTTGATTGAGAAGCTGGGTGATAAGATCGGCGAGAGCGAGATCCAGCGGTTGAAGGACTACAGGGCTCGCTATGGTGCTGAATAAATGAATCAGGAATGTTAATATATTGAATGATACCAATGAGTGTTGATGGTGTTCGTAGGTTTATGGGCGAGTAATAGAAGTTTACAATCTTTGCCTCACCAACGGTAAAGTCATCTATGCAACTGTTCAGATCACTTTTTGTTGGCTTCCAGGGCCTCGGGAGATCCGCGTGAAACTGCGCTCTTCGTGTGTTTCTCAAGTATATATCTCGGTTATTCACCTGATATAGGGAGATCTGAGTTCTGTATACGAATGTACACATCTCGCAAGACATACTACATCCCTTTGTTTTCAAGCCAAATTACCAGCCAGCGTTTGAATGACGATGTTTTCCACTTCAAACCACTGCTAATTCCCCTGGATACTACTCTGACATCATACACCATTTGCTTTCGAAACAACATCACCTGGAATGTACGGACTATGTGACACCACAACGAAGGGATAATGTGGGGTAAAAACTGTCTGAAACATGCCCTTTGCTCATGCTAATCAAATATGTCTCACTATCCATGGGGTTGTACTCACGTTCCAGCTCGAAATCCAATCCTTGGGAGATCATCTTCGACGGAAAACATATCCAGAATTCCAGATACATGCCATGGCGGCTTGAATTCATACAGTTTCCCAAGTTGATAATTAGTCAGCTCAGTCGGTCTATGCAATTCCAAGGAGCACGGCAGTGTATGTACTGGTACTGATGTTGTTCATCGATTCAAGTGCCCCTGTTAAGGAGTGAAGGGCGCCTTGTCAAATACCGTGGAGTTTGAGAAACGGAAGTGTCGAGCTGATCCTCTACCTTACGCTCATGTGAAGACACCTCCCCTCCCTCCGCTTCAGCCGCGAAATCTGCCTCCTGTATTCCTCTCGCTTGAACTGTAGATAATCACATCGTCGCGCTAGGAGGCAACGCGGCGATCCGAAGACTCGATTATAATTGCCTTACTAGGACGAGTCCGGACGACAACAAGATCTCGAACCAAAAGCCGGTGAGGAGGAGACCTCGAGCATAAATTCCTGAATTTTTGTCTTGCAGGAGATAATGCGAATAAGATCGGCGATCCCGTCCAGCTCTCGAGTCGGTGAAGATCCGGATAACGAAGAAAATGGGCTCCTTCCGGTAGCTTTCAAGCGGTCGGCTCATTGAGTCGAAAGGGTAAGCTAGATATGATATGTGTGCGAAGACGCTGACTAGAAGATGAAATGGTAATGACGCTGCATATGATGCATCCATGTTGCCATGTGCCGAGAAAACCTACAGCGCGGCACAGTTTTTGTTGTTGTGGCTTGAAATATCATGTTGGGTAACAATTGTTGGCATGGACGTGGGGGCCTGTATGCGGGTTTTCAATAATTCATCGGGCCTGCGTCCTGTTGTGGATTCTGGATGCCATTCGATGCGCTCTACCAGTGTAGATTCACGATGGCTTCGGCGACTTCAAGATCGAGCGGCGTTTGCCACAATGGGAATTTCGACAGTGATGTTCACCAGGCCGCGTGCAGTGTTCACTTGGCGTATGGCGAATATACATTAGCAGCTTCTTCTAGATTTATCTCATCGTCGATAGTCGGAAACATAAGGCTCATCCATCCGTTCGTGAGCGCGAGTGAACATATATTTTGCCCGAGAAGCAAGAGCGAAGAAGGATAATCAAAATCTGCTACCGCACTGACTGTTACCAACTTTAGCAGGTGTCACCGTACACCGTTAAAGTCATGACTCATGCCACATGCAGAAATGGCGGTTGGGATCGTATACACAATGATCTGTGTTACGCGGCAAAGCATATGACAATGGGATGATCCGGCATCCATCATGTTCATGCCGCTAATAAGACCCTTGTAGCGATCACCCGAGGGCTGAGAGCCTGTCCACGTACCGAGCACCTACTTACGTAGATAGATACAACGGTAGAGAGATTTAACGGAGCGGTCTGGCTATCTAATACCAGAAAAGAACTACCTAAAGCACACAATATTCATGAGGAGCCAATCAGAACCACGGACTGGCATTTAAGGTTGGTCATGTTTGGCATCAAAGCTTGGATCATCCGCCGTCCAGGTCTTGGCGCCCCACTGTGGTTATAGTATATACTGGAGGTGCATAATCAGTAACACTACCAAAGCAGGTTATCATGGTCACTGTGAGAGTTGTAGCGTAGATATGGGCACAGTTTTGAGTCAGTGGTCATGATAACCATACATTATACATGCGAAATCGGATTGGCGACTTCGAACCCAAAACGCCACAATACAGGTAACGGCACGGAACTACTGATTCTAGAAGCAAGGGCGTAGATCCACTGATAGAGCGCAAAGTTTCTCATACTTACCTAGGGATACCGAGTTTACTTTACGATATGATTACGATATGACCATATCAATCTCGCCAACTGAATTTAGATTACCATCGGAGCCAGGTTTCTGGTATCGGCAATTGGCTTCTGATCTCTTTGAGTAACCAGCAACATGCGCTGGTTTCAGTTTCTATGATAGTAGCAACTGCAAGCAATGCAATGGCAAGTTTTATCTGCTGTGATAAATCAGACAACATCTGTAGTACTCTTCATCCCTTTGTCGGGCGTCCTGTTATTTTCACGTTGGACTCTGTAGAACCCTGGGCTATGCGAATAGTATTTGGATCTTCAAGCATCTCCTTGACTATATAACTAGTATATCTCCTTACTGTTCTGACCATGACACCGACATTCCCTTTTTCCCTTGAACAGGGCCACGATGACTCGGGAAGTCGAACTAAGACAAACATGACCTGACCTGAGACATGCCCAGATGGCTTGACAAGGATTGGTTCGCGATGCAAATCGCAATATCCTGAAATCACAACTTCTATTATCCCTTTGGCACTACTCAAGCAAGGAAAACCATAATAGCGGGTTGTCAGTGCCCCGAGTACTCGTGTATCATCCATACGTAGACGTGTAATTTACAATAGCCCCGATGAGTAAACGTTCTGGAATCTCTTGTCACTATCAATATGGCATGCTGATACATGAAGCTGAAATGTCCAATCTCTGCCATGACATAGAAGGAAGAGTGGGAAAACCTTAATAGGCAAAATTGCGAGATATAGACTATTGCCCATGATATCGCAAGATACAGAGCTTGATCATGAATGTCGAGAGGCAGCTGTTACTACGTCGAGTTCTATAGCCGCTTTAGGCCGCCGTATCCCTAGCGCTACGGTGATATCTTGATATCAGAGAGGGAAACGCTATCTATTAATTGAGATGTTATCCGATTTCGATGCTTTGCACCCAGTCAAAGCTTCCGCGTATCGATCTATATCGGGTACCTAGTAGCAGCTCAGAGTTACATTTTGCATGCGTAAGCGAGAGGCTGACGTTCTATATCTGACATGCTAAATCGAAGAAAGCACGCAATTAGCAGGAGATAGCTTACTATTGAGAAAAAGGCAGGTCCCGCGTTACCGCAATCCATAACCAGAATCTTGGACGCAGCTTCTATAGGCCCTATTGGCTCTGAGGGTCCTCAGCGGTCACAGATCGGATCATAACCCCATAGCTGCCCGATTATCGAGCTCTTTAGCGACTATGCGGATGCTGAATTGCGCATGATATTTTTTGACTACGACTTGTGCATTGCGAGTGCATGTGCTTTCAACCGTGCAGCGACGATGAGCAGCCAATACCTAGTGAATGGAAAGACACGAGTCTCCTCATCGTACTCAGATGTAAGCATAGTTAGACATCACTACTAAGTAACTGGGTACTGTCCGTTTGACGATAGATCAGACAGAAGTGACCCACCACTATCAGCCACCATGCTCGCATATGCAACATGCTCTTCTCTCAGAAGGCAGACACCGTGTACTCCGCAGCATTCAATAATCTGATGCAGTATGCCAATGTCATTAGGCAAGTAATCAATATACAGTGCAAAGGAGACAAGAGGTAAGCGAAAACAAACAAGAAAACCCGGTATCTACAAGAGGATCGGCGTACGGTACCCACTGGCCCCACTGGGGTGAATACTACAGTACCCACAGCTGCCTAGGAACCTAAGGTGTCTAATGTACCTAGGTGCATGCTCCAATCAAAACAATCATCATACTGACTTTCCTCCTTCCTTCATCTTCTTCATAGTCACCGTCAACTTTCCGGTCTCGCTTCCCTATGCTCAACTCTGACACAGTCTCCACTGCTCATTTTTACTCCACTGCAATGGCCTTGGCTTCACAGGGGGCAGATGATCTGCCGAAAATTATCATATCATGCAGGAAGTCGATGGCTGGTTCTGGAAATCGAGCAGGAGGTCCCGAATCTCAACAGCACGATTCAGAGACAGGACCATCTCTCACCTGCTTCTTTCTTCCCGTCTCTCTCTCCCTCGGCTATCCTATCTTACCTTTGTCGTTCTATCTGCATGCTAGCTGCGTCTACCCTCCGTCTAACGAGTATCATGCAGCAGCATCAGTAGGTAGGATAAGCGAAGGATAGTTGTCGTCCTGCTTTGCTTGCTCGCCCCCACAATCCTTCCTGGCAGACTCATTGTCTGTACATCATTGAGACCCATACTCGACTTGCCTGTCGGGCCTTCTCTTCCAGGTAGACCCCCCTTGTGCATGTTATCGGACAAATTTCTTTCGTCTTGATCCTCTTTCTCATTGTCCCCTCGACTATCGTTAGCTACTACTGCTGGCGCCACTCGTCCTCTCGAGCCTAATCTCTCAACTGCAATTGGCTGGAGTTAAACATTTAATAACTTTTCTAGAGGATAAAAAGAGGGAACCGGCAAAGAGTTGTTTGAAAGAGCGAGGGTGGTCTTAAGCTGTCTCATCGATCCATTCTCTTTCCCTGCTCTTGTCTGAAATACTCTTCCAAAAGACATTCTTCGACCGTTGAACCACATGCTGCTCTCATAATACGGTAGCATCCATTTTATTGTACGGTCGTCGGTCGACTTGAACATGGGTTGGAGGCTTGTGGGTTCGTTGCTTGCGTTCTTCGCGGCAACCTCGATAGCATGGCCTTACGACGAGGCCCTTGTTGATTACAATCTCAACACGAACAGACAAGCGAGCAATCCTGCTGAATACTCTACAGATGTACCTGGCCACAATTACACACCTTCGCCTGACAATTGGCGTTTCCCCATGTATACCCTCTTCCTGGACCGTTTTGTCAATGGTGATCCAACCAACGATAACATCAATGGCACCCTCTTCGAGCATGATCTCAACTCGAACCAGATGCGTCATGGGGGTGACGTCGTCGGCCTGATTGACACTCTGGATTATCTTCATGGAATGGGCATCAAGGTGCGTTTCTGACTTCTTTTACTTGCCCCGTCTCCATTCACTTTCTCCGCTCAAAAACCTTTGGATTCTTGGGTTCTTTACTAATATCTAACAAACAGGGCATCTATCTGGCAGGCACGATTTTGATGAATCAGCCCTGGGGTTCAGACGGCTATTCAGCCCTCGACACTACGTTGCTCGATCAACACTTTGGGAATATCCAGACTTGGAGGGACGCAATCTCGGAAATTCACCGACGAGGCATGTATGTCGTTTTCGACAATACAATCGCTACGTAAGTAATGTTCACCCTCCTTCCACAGTAAGTGCTTGGACTGACCGGTGCCCCTCGCGTAGCATGGGTGACTTGATTGGTTTCGAAGGATACCTGAATACCACTACCCCTTTTTCCGTCAAAGAACACAAGGCACTTTGGAAGACTGACCGCCACTATGTCGATTTCCACTTTGGAAATGATTACAACGAGACCTGTGACTACCCGAGATTTTGGAATGAGACTGGCTGGCCAGTCGACCAATCCGTCAGGGACCAATTGAATGGGTGCTACAACAGTGACTTTGACCAATATGGTGACCGAGAAGCTTTTGGTGTCTATCCAGACTGGCAACGTCAGCTGGCAAAATTCGCTTCCGTTCAAGATCGTTTGCGCGAGTGGAATCCCAGTGTCAGACAAAGATTGACTCGCCATTCCTGCATGATTATCGAGGCCCTTGATATTGACGGCTTTCGGTACGACAAGGCCACGCAAGCCACCGTGGATGCCCTGGGAGAGATGTCGCTCGCTTATAGGGAGTGTGCTCGTAAAGTTGGCAAGAACAATTTCTTCATTTCCGGTGAGATCACTGGAGGAAACACCTTTGGCTCCGTTTACCTTGGGCGTGGGAGGCAGCCCAACCAATACCTGGAGTCTGCCATCGATGCTATGAACATGACCAATTCATCGGACCACCAGTATTTCTTGCGCGAGCATGGCCATGAGGCTATCGACGCAGCAGCCTTCCACTACTCCATATATCGCTCCCTGACTCGATTTTTGGGCCTCGATGGGAACCTGGCGGCTGGCTACGATACTCCAGTTGACTGGACTGATGCCTGGAACCTAATGGTCATATCCAATGATATGATCAATGCCAACACTGGGAAGTTCGATCCTCGACATATGTATGGCGCCACAAATCAGGATGTTTTCCGATGGCCGGCCATTGAGTACGGTGTAGAGCGCCAGCTCCTTGCTCTGTTCGTCACAACCCTGCATCTTCCCGGCATCCCACTTCTTCTGTGGGGCGAAGAACAGGCTTTCTACATCTTGGATGCTACGGCCTCCAACTATATCTATGGACGTCAAGCAATGTCACCCGCCACAGCATGGAAGACTCATGGCTGTTTTCAGCTGTCACCATCGCAGTATTACAACTGGCCTATCCAAAAGGGTCGCCAGGGTTGCCAGGACCAGACGGCCACGTACGATCACCGTGATCCTTCCCATCCCGTCCGGAACATTATCAAACATATGTACCAGATGAGAGAGAACTACCCTGTCTTGAACGACGGATGGTGGCTACAGAAGCTATCCAAGCAGACTCGTGAAATTCATCTCCCTGGTTCAAACAGCACTCCTACCGAAACGGGCATGTGGTCAATCCTAAGAGACGTGACCCCGGGTATCCAAAGCCTCGGCCCCGACAAGGACGACCAACCGGTGTGGCTGGTATACCAGAATGAGAATCATACCGTTGACTACAAATTCGACTGCGGCAGCAATGACTCTGCCCTAATCGCTCCGTTCGCCTCCGGAACCACAGTACGAAATCTGTTTTATCCACACGACGAACACGTTCTAAAAGATGGTCCAAAGAAACTTGGCTTGAATGGCTCCACGGACACCAATGGCTGCCTCGATAGTCTGACTCTCAAGCCTTTTGAGTTCCGGGCCTATGTCCCAAAGAAAAGATTCATTGCTCCCCGGCCCATGATCACTCAGATCACGCCTGGCCACGATACCCCATTACTCTCAAAGGTCGCACCTGACCAGGCTGAAGAGATAGATGTCAGCATCTACTTCTCGGCAGAAATGGACTGTGACTCTGTCACAAAGTCAATCACCCTGAATTCGACGACAGAATCTGGGAAAATGCCATCTGTTGACAGCAAAAGTGCGAGTTGCAACAAGATTCCAGCGACGGATACGCAATGGACCGGTCAACTTCCAAGCGTCTGGGTTTGGACCGGAAAGTTGACTGGCGTGTATAATGGGATTCATCGGTTGACGGTCACAAACGCGAGTGACTCCGCTGGGACGAGCGCAACAAATGCCATTGACCATTTCTTGTTTCGTGTTGGCCAAAGTGACAATCCCATGGTATTCACCTCGGCCAATTATTCCAGTAGTCTGTTGCATGAGCACGAGAACGGCACACTTTTCATCCAACATCATGCTGCGGGTGCCGACAAATATCGCTATTCCACCAACTGGGGAAGTTCATTCTCTAATTGGATGGACTACAAAGGCGGCAATGAGACAATCGAAGAGCTTCCCTGGTCCGGAACCAAGAAGCAGAAATGGCAGGGAAAGCATGTGCGCGTTGAGTATTGGAGCAAGTTGACTGGGAGCAGCGACTATGTCCAAGAAGGAGACTCTGGCTGGGACTCCAACCGCCCACGGCGCTTCCCTCACCTCTTCTTTAATGGGCCGTATAATCAATATGGCTATGATGCTGGACTGAACAATGCGGTTCAGCTAGCAGACAATGGACTGTGGCGGTTTAGATTTGTAGCTGAGTGGCCAGCGCAGGGCCAGTTCAATGTCTGGGGCATCAATCCTGATGGTCAACCCGACCAGAGTTTCGTGTTTGGTGATGCAGATAGAGACGGCGTCCTAGATCGCATGCCTCCCTCTTCCCTCAGTACCACACTGATTAACATCACCGACCACCCGCCAGCGCCTCATCTGGCATGGGTCCTTCACCTGGATGATTCGACTCTGCAGTTCCGACTCGAGCCAACAGGCTCCAGGGCAGTTCAAATGGCCGTTTTCTTCCTCATTTGGCTCATACCAGTTCTGACGGCTGCTGCATGTGTATACGGCTTCATGAAATCGTTCTACCAAGTGAAATTTAACCAAGTCGGCGTCAGCGAGAAGAAGACGCTATTACCATTATGGCTCCGGAGGAAGATCAAGCGCGCAGCTCTCGAAGATGGCGAGCCTATGAATCCTCTTGTCCGCTTTGCAAACAGGTCAGGCTTTCTCCAAAGTAGGTCTGCATTCAATGAAGGGGCTTTAAAGCGGAGGACTGTCCTGATTGCCACAATGGAGTACGACATTGAAGATTGGGCGATCAAGATTAAAATCGGCGGTCTAGGCGTCATGGCACAGCTTATGGGCAAGAACCTGGGGCACCAGAACCTGATATGGGTTGTCCCTTGTGTTGGTGGTGTTGATTACCCCGAGGATCAGCGGGCTGACCCGATGTTTGTCACCGTGCTCGGGAACTCTTATGAGGTCAATGTCCAGTACCATGTTGTCAAGAACATCACTTATGTTCTCTTGGATGCACCCGTCTTCCGCCAGCAAACCAAGACCGAGCCGTATCCTGCTCGGATGGACGATCTGGATAGTGCCATCTACTACTCTGCCTGGAATCAGTGTATCGCACAGGCAATCAGGAGATTTTCTGTCGAACTGTATCACGTCAATGACTATCATGGCTCGATTGCTCCACTCTATCTGCTACCACAGACTATACCCATTTGCTTGTCCCTCCACAACGCTGAATTCCAAGGACTATGGCCAATGCGAACGCAGAAGGAGAAAGATGAAGTCTGTTCCGTGTTCAACCTTGACCTTGATGTAGCAAGTCGCTACGTCCAATTTGGTGAGGTTTTTAACATGCTTCATGCGGGTGCAAGCTACCTTCGGCTGCATCAGCAAGGCTTCGGTGCCGTAGGTGTCTCAAAGAAGTATGGGAAGCGCTCTTATGCCCGGTATCCGATCTTCTGGGGACTGAAGAAAGTTGGAAACCTACCGAATCCTGATCCTACAGACACGGGGGAATGGAACAGAGAGCTAACTAGGCAATCTGACATCAAGGTGGATGCAGCTTATGAGGCCAGCCGCGGAGAATTCAAGCGTCAGGCACAGGAGTGGGCAGGACTGGAACAGAATCCCAATGCAGATCTCTTGGTGTTCGTTGGAAGATGGTCCATGCAAAAGGGTATTGACCTCATTGCAGATGTGATGCCTGCAGTCCTAGAAGCTCGGCCTAACGTCCAGTTGATTTGTGTTGGTCCGGTTATTGACCTCTATGGCAAATTCGCGGCGTTGAAGCTTGATCGTATGATGGAATTGTACCCCGGCCGTGTGTTCTCGAGGCCCGAGTTCACAGCACTTCCGCCATTCATCTTCTCTGGTGCTGACTTCGCTTTGATCCCATCCCGCGATGAGCCCTTTGGGCTTGTTGCAGTGGAGTTTGGGCGCAAGGGTGCCCTTGGTATTGGTGCGCGAGTTGGCGGCCTGGGTCAAATGCCTGGTTGGTGGTACAATGTTGAATCTACAACAACATCGCATCTTCTGCATCAATTCAAACTCGCTATTGGTAGTGCATTGAGCTCGAAACCCAGAGTTCGAGCCATGATGAGGGCACGGTCCGCGAAGCAACGCTTTCCTGTTGCTCAGTGGGTGGAAGACCTTGAAATCTTGCAATCTACTGCGATTCGCATTCACAGCAAAGAACTGGCGAAGTCAAGTGGACAGCCGTTGACTCCATCCGGGTATAACACCCCGAGTGGGATGATGACGCCTCCAGTTGCAGGAAGTCTGACTCCAACCGGCATACAAACTCCTCCTTTGATCCATTCACGGGAACCTAGTATCTCAAACGCCAGTCGGCTCAGTGTGCTCGGCCCCCAGCAACGAAACACAATCGTATACAGCCGCGACCCAAGTCCTGGAATGGCTGAAAAGCCCAAGTCAGGTCTTAGCCGGCAGCTATCACTCGGAGTAAGAGCTGGACCTGGGCATCTGGAGCGCCGCGGCCGTCGTAAGCTCAAGAAGATGAACCAAGCGGGCAGTGATGACAATCAGAACTCAACGACTGACGTCGAGTCAAGCAGCGATGACGATATTATTCCCAGCTACTACGGTGGCGACGAATACACTCTCACGCCCGAACAAGCGGAAGCAGGGCGACAAATGGAAATCTCCCAGCAACAAGGGCATCATTCCGTGTGGACCCCTCGGGACTTCTTCAGTCGGAGGCATTCAAGTCAAACGTCTATCTCTTTTAACACCCCCCTGTCCCCCACCAGCACTGGTGTCACTGAAGCCGACGACACTATCTTCCCTCCTGCTCGGCGGATGCTGGAACCTGCTAACCCGAGCCACCGCCTTAGCAGCGCCTCTGTGCTGTCGGTAGATTCGATCGTCGGCGCCAAGCGAGATTATAGACTCCAGAGGGTTGATCCTTTCTTCACGGACAGTACCGGCGAGTTCTACAGAATCTTTGAAAAGAAGTTGGAGGCATTGAATGGTTCAAATAGTGAATCACAGCTTTGCATCGAGGAGTACCTTGTCAAGAGTGAGAAGAAGTGGTTCGACAGATTCAGGGATGCTAAATTAGGTCGCAATCAGTCTCCTGCTTCTTCCGTTTTCCAGGTCAAGCGCGATATTTCGTCCAACGATACGGTCTCCAATGAAATGGGGGCGCGTGAGAGCGACAGCGACCCACCCAAAGAACGGGATGAGTTCTTCTTAGGGTCTGATTATGTTCCCCCCACAGGCCTGAAAAAATGGATGCAAGTGCGGATTGGTGACTGGCCTATCTACTCGATATTTCTTGGATTGGGACAAATCATTGCGGCCAACTCCTACCAGATCACACTGCTCACCGGCGAAGTTGGCCAGACACCTGAAAAGCTCTATGGTATCGCGACAACATACTTGATTACATCGATCATCTGGTGGTTTTTCTTCCGCTACTTTAAGTCAGTGGTCGTCCTCTCGCTTCCATGGCTGCTGTATGGCCTTGCGTTTGTCATAATCGGTGTCGCGCATTTCGAAAGTAACGCATTCAGTCGCGGCTGGATCCAGAATGTGGGAAGCGGACTGTACGCTGCTGCCTCCTCTAGTGGCTCCATTTTCTTTGCGCTGAATTTCGGTGATGAGAATGGAGTGCCTGTCAAACAGTGGGTTTTCCGTGCATGTGTCATTCAAGGTACCCAGCAGGCTTATGTGATCGGCCTGTGGTATTGGGGAACCAGCCTTGCTCAAGCAACCAACAGTGGCATTATCAATCCTCAGGGTGATATAACGAACACTTGGAAGATAACGTACGTTAGATGCCCTTCATTCCGTCTACTGTCACAATTCGCTAACTGATATTCTAGTGCCATTTGCTTACCCATCGCCATCATCCTGTGGAGTATCGGTTTGCTTGTTTTCTTCGGTCTGCCGAATTACTATCGGCAGATACCCGGGAAAGTCCCATCTTTCTACAAGTCTGTCTTCCGGCGAAAGATCGTTCTGTGGAACTTCGTTGTTGTCATCGTTCAGAACTTCTTTCTGAGCGCACAGTATGGACGGAATTGGAGCTGTAAGTCGTCGAACCGTGGGATATTGCATATCTTCAAGGACAATGGCTGACATTTCTCGCTTTCTCTCTGCAACAGTTCTCTGGAGCTCTAAGAATGCGGAAGCCTGGCAGGTGGGAATTTTGTGCGCTTTTTTCTTTGGCGCTGTCTGGGCCGCGCTGCTATACTTGTTCGGTTATCTGTCCAAGTCTCACAGCTGGATCATTCCAGTGTTCGCCTGCGGCTTGGGGGCTCCGCGATGGGCCCAGATGCTTTGGGGAGTCTCAGGGATTGGGCTGTATCTTCCCTGGGCTGGCGGGGACGTAGGCGGGGCCCTTGTTTCTCGGTCCGTGTGGCTCTGGCTTGGAGTCCTGGATTCCTTACAGGGCCTCGGATTCGGCATGATCTTGCTTCAGACCTTGACTCGGATGCACATCTGCTTCACTCTGCTGGCTTCTCAAGTGCTAGGTTCAATTGCGACCATCTGCGCCAGGGCGTTCGCTCCGAATAATATTGGTCCGGGGCCGATTTCACCAGACCTGACGGCCGGAGTCAGCTCGGTTGCCAATGCCTGGTTCTGGATTGCTATTTTCTTTCAGCTGCTAATATGGTAAGCACATTATCCTCCAAGCATTAATATTCGGACTCAAGATTGACAAACACTCTTCCGCAGCGCTGGGTTCTTAAGGTTCTTCCGGAAAGAGCAACTTTCAAAGCCCTGAATGGCAAGTATCCCTCGACTTCCTGTATTGGAGCGGTCTTAGCCTTCTGCCTTGACGGCGACGCGAGGATCCGTGACACTGCTCTTTATCTATGAAGATATAAACGCCTATATACTCCGACATTATATACAATGGTCGGTCATTTATTCGTTTCTAATGTTTTGGGCGGTTTCTTCTGCCCTGGTTCAAAACGAGTGTAATATTTCAACACTTTTGCTCTGGCCATTATGCACAATCGCATGTTATGTACATTGAGCGCGGCTCGTCTTGCTAAGACGAGCTTGTCTGACTTTTTCTCCTCCGAGAAAAGCGCATTGCATATTGATGGCTTACTGTGGCTGCACGAATCATGGATGTCATGTCGTTCCTTTGTATGACCTGCCGATGCTATTTGTTTCGCCTCCAACTGGATGTATCACGAGGGGGACTAGAGTTTTGCATTATGTCTGTTTGTTTGGGATTTACGATATCCATGGTCAATTAATGATTCTTTATCTGCACAGTCAAAGCTACGGTCTCTGTATTGCAAATAGAACGATAGCATTGAGATTATCCGTATGTGGTATAATAAAAGCGAAGAACAATATCCCCGGAAGCCCGCCCAATGCATTGCAATAGAAATCAGAATCTCGAGGGAGGTGAAATAAGGCACCATCCAGGTGAAAACAGCCGAACACAAATGCATAAACGGTCATAACATTTTTTGCTGAGAGGAGGGGAATAGAAGAAGGGAAAAAAGGGCTACCACTCCAGAGGCTCAGTCTTGACGTCTCCACGGTTGGTCTTGGGGACGGGGGCGGCCTGAATCATTGTGGCGCCGCCGCGGTTACCGCGCTTGAGGTAGCCACTGCCGTCGAGCCAGGGGGTCTCGAGAGTGCGCTTTGCCTCGAAGGAACGGATCTTGTCCTCCATCTGGAGGGTGAGGCCGATATCGTCGAGGCCATTGATGAGGCAGTGCTTGCGGAAGGCGTCGACGTCAAAGGAGGCGAGCTTGGAGCCGGCGGCGTCCTTGATCTCCTGGTTGACGAGGTCGACCTCGATTTCGCGGCCGGCGGAGGCCTCGGCTGCGATGGCGGCGAGGGCGGCCGGGTCGGAGATGACGACGGGCAGCATGCCGTTCTTGAAGGTGTTGTTGAAGAAGATGTCTGCGAAGGAGGGGGCGATGATGCACTTGATGCCGAAGTCGAGGAGGGCCCAGGGGGCGTGCTCACGGGAGCTGCCGCAGCCGAAGTTGGGGCCAGTGACGACGAGAATCTTGGCGTTGCGGTAAGGCTCCTGGTTCAGGACGAAAGAGGGGTTTTCAGAGCCGTCGGCGGGGTTGTAGCGGAGTTCGTAGAAGAGGGCGCTGCCGAGGCCGGTACGCTTGATGGTCTTGAGGAATTGCTTGGGGATGATGGCGTCGGTGTCGACGTTGGAGCGGTCCATTGGGGCGGCGATGCCGCGGAGGGTGGTGAACTTGGGGAGACCGGCGCTGGAGCCGGCGGCGGCCGTGGCGGCGGAGGAGTTGGCGTGCGGCTCGTTGTCGGCCGGCATGTCCATGATGCGGTCGAACTCGTCTTCAGTCGTGGGGTCCTCGTGCTCCTGCTGGATGTCCAGGTGGGGCTGGGCCTTGGCCAGCAGGGGGCTGGCGGTCAGATGTTCACGCACGTCGGCAAGGTGGCCGGAGATAGCGGCGGCGGCGGCCATGGCGGGGGACATGAGGTGAGTGCGGCCGCCGGCACCCTGGCGACCCTCGAAATTGCGGTTGGAGGTGCTGGCGCAGCGCTCCTGGGGGGAGAGGATGTCGGGGTTCATGCCCAGGCACATGGAGCAGCCGGCCTCGCGCCACTCGAAACCAGCGTCCGTGAAGACGCGGTCCAGCCCCTCGGCTTCCGCCTGCTGCTTGACCAGACCAGAACCGGGAACGACCATGGCGCGCTTGATGTTGGCGGCAACCTTCTTGCCGCGGACGACCTTGGCCGCGGCGCGCAGATCCTCAATCCGCGCGTTGGTGCACGAGCCGATGAACACTTTGTCGACGGGGATGTCCTGCATCCGGGTGCCGGCCACGAGACCCATGTACTCGAGGGCGCGCTTGCAGGCGACCTTGCGGTTCTCGTCCTCGAAGTCATCGGGTCCGGGAACGACGCCCGTGATAGGGACAACGTCCTGCGGGGAAGTACCCCAGGAAATGGTGGGGATGATATCCTTGCCATTAAGGATGACGGTCTTGTCGTAGACGGCGCCCTCATCGGACGCGAGGCTCGACCAGAAGGCGACAGCCCTCTTCCACTCGGAGCTGTCGTACTTGGGGGCCAGGGGTCGACCCTTGAGGTACTCAAAGGTGGTCTCGTCGGGGGCGATCATGCCCGCGCGGGCACCGGCCTCGATGGACATGTTACACATGGACATCCGGGCCTCCATGCTCAGCCCGCGAATGACGGAACCGCAGAACTCGATGACCGCACCAGTACCACCCGCGGTGCCAATGACTCCGATAATGTGCAGGACCACATCCTTACTGGTCACGCCAGGAGGCAGCTCACCATCCACCTGAATGCGCATGTTCTTGCTCCGGCGGGTGAGAAGGGTCTGAGTAGCGAGGACGTGCTCGACTTCGCTCGTGCCGATGCCGAAGGCGAGGGCGCCGAAGGCACCGTGTGTGGAGGTGTGGCTGTCACCGCAGACAACGGTGGTACCGGGGAGAGTGAAGCCTTGCTCGGGACCGATGATGTGAACGATACCCTGGCGCCTATCTCCCATGCCGAAATATGTGAGTCCGAAGTCCTTGACGTTCTGTTCGAGGGTGGTGCATTGCAGACGAGAGTCGGTCTCTTCGATGAACTCTTCGACATTCTTGAAGTTTTTCCGCGACGAGGTAGGGATGTTCTATTGTTTGAATTAGCTTGATTGACCTCATACAAGGAGATGAAAACAGCATACGTGATCAACTGTGACGAGAGTGCAGTCCGGCCTGCGGACCTTGCGGCCAGCATTCTTGAGACCTTCGAATGCTTGTGGGGAAGTCACCTCGTGGACGAGATGTCTGTCTGTGGCCGGTTAGCTCAAAAACAATTGCGATAATTACGAGTCAACATACCGATATAGATGAGAAGGGTACCATCCTCCTGCTCATTGACAATGTGGTGGTCCAGGACCTTGTCGTACAAGGTCTTGGGCTTCTTGTCTGCGCCAGGCATGAGGGGCAAAGGCGAGCGGAAAGTCTGGTAATACAAGACAACAGCAACAACTCTCTTTCTTAACTGATCAGTAAGACGAAAAGGATGAAAGACAGATGCTTCAATGCCTTGGGAGATACTAATAATGACAATTATGATGACGATGCGATCTCAAGGAGGAGCAGCAACATTTTATCGGGGATGGGTGGTCGCGATGTCGCTCAGAGACGATGAGGGGCGGATCCGACATCGGTCCGGTCAGCAGAGATTGGGTTGACTGTGATTGGCTGGCTGCAGTGAATCCGCCTGTGCAAATACCTCCGGTACCGGTCAGGAGCACCGCTTAATCGCGGAGGCCACAACGAGACTCCATAATAGTTGTCTATGAGTAACGCGGGTGCCCCGATTGACCTTCTGGTTGGGGTAATCGTTGCAGAGTGTGATCAGACGCTATTCGTTTGCACTACCTCATAGATGCGAGGGTCTTAGAGACCCTGGAATATAGCTCATCTCCATATGGAGCTCAGGAAGGCAGCAAGGCAGCAAGGCAGAAAGGATGAGACAATGTCTTAGTTTGGTCCATCCTGCCGGTTCCTGTCGGTTCTCAGTGGACACGCTGTTTATGAATGAACAATCCGTTCCACATAGGATGAGCTTTACTCCAAACTACGGAAGACCGAAGGCGTTCCGAGATTTTCTGTAAGACTCATGATTCCTGTTTTATGACTGCAATGGAAATCATTGGTTCGAGTACTATTGAACTGTCCTCGATTAGTGTGCAGCATATCCAAATAAGCAGGAAGATACTGTCGAAACGTACTGCCCTGCGAGAGAGATATGTAGTGCTTATCAGGATGCATGATGCATGTGCTGTTCGAACTGATGCCGGAAGCTTGCATAAGTTGAAGCTATTCTCTGGTGGACTACGTATACAAAGTGTCTTGTCTGTCTAGCCTTTTGGAATGGCACACGACAGTTCCATTGATCTTATTATATACAATCAGGTAACCCTGTCATCTATCAAGCCTGCCCAATGGGCTTCGATCCAGTCTCGAAAACAAATGGTGCAGTGGCGGCCAGCAATGGCGTAGGTTTGCCAGTTACCTTGGGATCAGTTCCAATGAAATTGTTGGGAAAACCAACATCCATCGGCTTCACACTCTCCAGGTACTCGATCTGCTCCGGGGTCAATTTGATGCTCAGTGCCTGGATGTTGTCGTGCAGGTGCTCGACCTTGCGCCCTCCGACGAGCGGGAACACACTCGGCGCCTTGGCCCGCACATACGCCAGCGCAATGGCCGTCACAGACTCGATACCATGCTCAGCGGCCACTTTCGCGAGAGCCTCACTCATCCTCACCTCATCCTCCGTCTGCTCCCCGGGCCCGAGCATGCTGCGCAGGCCCTCGCCCTTCTTCTTGCGCTCCTCGAGCGCCTTCTTCGTCTGGAACTTGCCGCTGCCCAGCACGTCCCACGGCGCCAGCGCCATGCCAAAATGCCGCGCCATGGGGATGATCTCGCGCTCAAAGTCCCGCAGCATCACGTTCCACCGGCCCTGGTAGACGCTGAAGGGCGTCTTGCCGTGTGCGCGCGCGTACGTGTTCGCCGCGCTCACAACCCACGCCGGCGAGTCCGAGATACCCAGGTATAGCACCTTGCCCTGCTCCACGAGGATGTGCAGACTGTCCATGATCTCCTCGATGGAGGTGGTGTGGTCCCACCAGTGCAGGTACAGGATATCGATCCAGTCCGTCTGCAGCTTCTTGAGCGAGTCCCGCACGCTCATGTGCAGACTGCGGCGGTGGTTACCGCTGTGGTTGACCGCATGGCCTTTACCTAGGGCGTGGGCCTTGTAGTCGGTTGTGAACTTGGTTGCGAGGACCAGCTGGTCGCGGTTCTTGCGGGCAGCCATCCATTCTCCGATCCAGGTCTCCGATTGCTCATCCTGGTAGTTGTTGGCGGTGTCGATGAAGTTGCCTCCGGCCTCGACGAAGGCATCAAGCAGCTTGAAGGAGGATTCCTTGTCCATTGAGCCCATAACATGCGACCAGGCGTCTCCGATCGACATGGCGCCGAGCTGCAGCGGAGACACGCGGATGCCCGCAGTCGAGGAGAGGATGCGATACCGACCAAGCTCGGTGCGAGGCTGGGGTGCTGGTCTGATGAATTCCGACATGTTGAGGTTGATGATAACAATAAAGAGGCTTATCTTTGTTTAGGCTTGTGTAGAATGGCCAGTTCGAAAATTGGGGCCTTGTTGATGCTTTTATAACGGCTTCTTCCTCCCATCTCTCCGAGACCTCCTGGCTGTCAATTGAGGGGTTTTGGAGACAAGTGGATCCATGATTTCATGACCGTATCTCCGTTAATCACTGCGTAACGCTGAACAAAGAAAGCTAGTCTGGCCTAGCAAGAGCTCTGGGGACGTAGACACAGAAAGTCTCTCTGTCGTGGCTCACTAATGCGACCAGATGACGGGGGGCGGAGATATCGCATGGAGAGTAGATGATGGCGATGGAATTATATAGGTAAGTAACACATCATAGTACCAAGAATGAGGAAGAAACCAAATCTGATGACAGTAACTCCGTGGCCCGAGTAGATATCACAGAATAATGACGACGATGACGATGAAGCCTGGGGACTTAGGCTTACTGATCCCTAGCGGCACTGGATTTAGGCTCGGAGTTAACGGTTAGCGTCTAGTCTTACCCAAGCCTCGGCAGACCCAGAGCTAGGAACCTAGGTGTCATCTCGAGAGGATTTGAAATACGCAAATATACTAATTTTTGGTGATACGTTGATTTTGGCCTTTCAGAACCGCATCGATCTTAGCCGAGGCTGCGAATAATGGCGCCAAATGTAAAGAAGCTGATCTAATTCACAACTCGTCTATCACAAACTAATAATCAGACTATACGCCGTATCCAAATGCTCTATTATCTTGCTGAAACACCAGCAACGCCAGACGATGTCGTACGAACAAGCCCAAGGCTCCACAGACGGTCTGAACCATGACCATGTGCCACGCCAGACGATCCTCCCGCATCGGTCCCATCCAGACCAGCCACAGATTCAGGATCGTCAGATTGGTGGACTCGACTATCTCACCCTTCTCGTTCTTTGTAATGCGAATCAGCCGCAACCTGTGCAGGATCTCTAGGCCAGTAGCCACCAATGAAGCCGGAGGCACGGTCCACTCGGTTACGGACGCGTCCAACAGCCCGCTCATGGCGTTGAACTTGGGGAGTCGATGACGGGGGCAGGGGATGATGTGGAAGAGCTGCGGAGTCGAGTACAGAAAGTTGAAGAGCTGTGGGATGAAAAGCAGCAAGAGCGTTTTGCTGAAATGACCTAGAATCCCCACCACGGCAAACACCATCCCCGCAAAGTAGCAGTAGGTATCGCCCACAAACACCTTCGACGGATACCAGTTGTGGCACAGCAAGGCCAATGAAACCCCGATGAAAGGGAGCAGGAAGTATAAAGAAAATAGATGCGAGTCGGTAGCCGGGTGCGGGAATGGCGTTGTAGGTGCGATGTATAACAGATCATTCGCAACCAGCAGTACCGCAATCACGAGTGATTGTGCAACTTCCACTCCGTTGATCCCCGCCAGCATGTTGATGGCGTTGGGACAAAAAATGGCAATAGCGGCCATGTACACGTAGTACAGCCATCCCAAGTCCACGAAAGCGCCCATGTACGGCTGCAGGGGCACAGGCACGACAACATGCGTAACACCAAAGTCCACAAAGTAAACAATGAGCATGGGGATTGCACCGAATGCAGGAATGAGGACTTTGTGTCTCCAGCGTATATCGAGCAGATCATCTCCTATTCCTAGTATGACAATGCATTGCAATGACAGGAGCCCAGACAGATAAGACGCAAGCTTCAACATGTCAGTTACCTAAGTGTGATAGGAGAACCGGCAGGACGGACCTTGGAATGTGGAAAGCGATGAAGAAAGCGACCATTCTCGACATGATCAATCTCAAGCACTACATCTCGATTACCACCACCCGACGTAGCTGCAACGATGTCCTTATAAAAGGCGAAGGGAATGAAGAAGATCAGCGCCAGAAGGTACACGACAGCGCAAACAGCCCCCATGGTCTCCGGTCTAGCAAATCAGTTAGCATGACAACTTCATATTCACCCTGCTAGGCACGAACAACTCGAAGAACAAGGATGAGGTTGTTGTAGGGCAAAAGCAACAATTCGCACGTGTTCGTACATTTCAGGTCTTCTTGGCTTCGCCATGTCCTTGCCCTTTAGGCCGGCTCTCATGAAAACCGGTCCCAGCCATCGAATTAGACTAAACGTCAATGCAAAAGCTACTGCGCTAAAAGCAATGGATGCGACTAGAGGCGCACCGTCACCTTGAAGACTATTCACGATGATTCCAATACCGGCTCCCGCCAGCACCAAGAGACGCCAGGTCTCCCGACGAGAAAGCGAGCTTGCATATGCTGAGTTCATGGTCAGGGAAACAGCTTCGGCATTACTGTACTGTATATTAGACCTGAGCGCGAGCTCCTGAGAAGAAAACAAGGATCAATTCCCGGCATTATTGCATCCAGGCGAAGGATTGCAATCTGGCATCATTCACCCTCAACACTGTCATGCCCGTTCTGCCGGTCCTTTGAGACCGCCCACATGGCGGTGAGCAATCCACATGCTTAGCTGATCTCCAGTCGATCCGCAATAGGAAAAGTCTCCAATTCAGCGGGCCCCACAAGATGCGAGATGGTTATTGTTGTGATGGTAATGAGGAGTGCTTCCGCCTAATTCACTGGCACCATCTAGCTTATCTGTGTACATGGGTGGTTTTCTGCTCTTCTTCAATTGGAGTCGACACGCATGCTTGGGTCTGCATTGTATTCCTGTCTGTCTGTTCCAATTGAATGAACCTGGCCACCGGGATCCTTGACAAGGGACATCTTGATCGGCCCGACATGTCCTCTGGATTCGCCGACTTCGATGCCGGCCATCGTGACTTGGTGACAGTGACCAAATTCAACTTTTATGGCAATCGTATTGTCACCGCTTCTTCGGACCACCGCATGAAGGTGTGGGATCAGAAAGATGGTGAATGGCAACTGATCGATACCTGGCGCGCTCATGACGCTGAAATCCGTGATGTAAGCATCCGCTCCTTGGGCACTTTGCGCCAGCAAATACTCATCTGTGACAGGCTACGTGGAATGGCCCATTTACTGGCCAGCACATAGGTAGTGTAGGCGAAGACATGAAGTGCAAAATCTGGCAGGAAGACGTCACCCAACCGCCCAATTCGGGGCGACGCTTCAGATCGATCTTCCGAATGACGGCGCCGCAACGGCATCCGTTCGTTTCTATGGACTTTCGCAACATTGACCTTGAGACCTGGCTCGCTGTAATTACTCGGGATGGCTACCTTATGGTCATGGAACCCGTGAGCCCCGATTCCCTCGCGGACTGGCAGCCCCTGGACCAGTTTCGAGTTTGCACTGCGCCTCAACGCGGTGAGGAAACCAGCTTCAAAGTGCAGTTTCATCATGATCCAACAGATATTACTCACTTAGTCAATCCGAGCTGGGACCGTAAGAGCCTCTCTCTTGTCGTCGCCGCCATGGACAGCGTCAAAGTATACCGCACCGACGCCAATCGTCGCTTCTACCACGCCATTGAATTGACTGGGCATGGCGGGCTTGTCAGAGACATCTCCTGGGCTAATGGCTCTGTTCGAGGCTACGATCTCATTGCTAGTGGCTGCAAAGATGGCTTCGTACGAGTCTTCGAAGTCTATACTTTGATGTCAAACAGTGGTTCGCAGAACGCCAATGGAAGACACATCGAATCTCATTCACAGTCACCCTCCTTGCGTGCCACCGCACAATCGGGAATTGGGTCCGCTCTTGCGAATCGAACACCTGAGTCGGTGACAAATCGTCCAGCGACTGGTGATTCTCAGTTCAAGCATTCGTACAAGGAAGTTGCTTGTATCGATAGCAAACATCTCGATGTATGGCAGGTAGAGTTTTCCTACGCAGGTGAGTTTTCACGGCACTCTTGGAAACCAATCCCTGGCATGCAACTGAACTATTCTAGGTGACTGTCTCATCTCTTCTGGTGACGATGGTGCTGTCCGCTTCTGGAAGAAGTCCTTGTCGGGCAAGTGGCTTGAATACGCTGAGACCGGTATAGACTATGAGTGAATTCGCCTATGTCTTCTGACGCCGATCGACTACCGCAATTAACTGCTCATCAAGCCTTCACCAAAGGGTGGCAGTTACGGAGTTGTTGCTCGGCGTTCTCGTGGTTATGCGTATCTGACAGGGTTTTATATTCTTCTCTTCTGTCCTTGTCTTTTTCGTTAGACTATGATACCCAGCGTCTTTCTTTCTTGTCAAGGCTCCGGTCAGGCGGGTGGATTAGATTTCGTTTCGAATATTCCAATAGACTCGCTACCTAGAACCTCGTCAGCGGCTCTTGCTCCTTTCCTTTTCCGCAAAATAGGGATGAGAATGTGTTGTTTGACCCGTGGGGAGCTGTACAAGGCAAGAACGATCATCCCTCATACGCACTATATCCTCTACCTATTCCAGCACCGTCCCTGGAATATCTCATTCAACCAGGCGGACCTCCTGGCTTCCTCGATTTGTGCACCGTATCTTTACTCACATTATCATTCTTAGCTGGAAATCATGGCGGTCGGACCGACCCTTGGGACTGGCCTCTTTATCGGAGGTGGCCAGGCGCTGGCCGCTGGGGGTCCTGCTTCCTTGCTCTTCTCCTATTTGTTCTTGTCTGTTCTGGTATACTGTCTCACAACCGCCTTGTCGGAGATTGCAGCTCATATGCCGGCTCAAGATGGCACGATGGTCTCCCACACCTACCGATACGCTTCAAAACCCTTGGCCTTCTCCCTGGGTTACCTTCGCTGGTATTCACTGTCGATGCTCATCCCGTTTGAAATCACGAACGCTATTGTCAGTCTTGGAATGGTAAATCCCTCGCCTGCGGTTGCGCTTCGTGTCAGCATTCCTGCTTTAATCATATTTGGCTTCAACTTGCTTCCAGAAAGATCATTCAAAAGGTCGGAAGCTGTTTTTACCTACTTGAAACTGATCACGACCACGGGCCTCGTCTTTCTCTCCCTTGTCTTTGCCATTCCAGGTGTTCCTCGCTCTCCTGTTCAAGGATTCCATTACTGGAACGAGCCGGGCCCCATGAACGAATTCATATACGATGGCCACCTGGGCCGGTTACTGGGTCTGCTCCAGTGCCTCCTGTATAGCACGATTGCCTTCGTCTTTACGCCGGAGCTCATCGTGCAGAGAATTGAACAACTTGACTCGAAAGAGCAAGCAAACATTCTGAGTGTATCCCGAATCGACATGATACATCTCTTCGTGCTCTATATACTCAACGCAGTGGCCATGGGCGTGATGAGTCCCTTTAACGATCCGTCACTTACAAACCACGGGGTTGGCGCTGGGACCTCGCCTTATCTGTTGGCGATCAAGAGGAGCGGGATTCCCGTTCTGCCAGTGGTCGTGACCGCGTTGATCTTCCTCTCGTCTGTCGCATCTGGCCGTTCTTTTCTTTTCACCTCTTCACGCACGCTGCATTCATTGGCTGAAGCTGGGCATGCTCCTGAGCTTTTCAGGCGGCGCAACCGATGGGATGTGCCGTATGTAGCCGTCATAACGTCGGCACTCTTCTCCAGTTTCGCATTTTTCTCCGCGATGACATCCAGCTCGATTGTCTTTAATTCGCTGATGTATTTTATCACCACGTGCGGATGCATCTCCTGGGTGGGCACGTGCGTCGTCTACCTTTACTTTCGCAGGCAGACAGAAGCCCTAGGCTTTACCTCTGTACACCGGGCCAGGATACAGCCCTATGGGGCGTACTTTGGCATTGTCACATGTACACTGCTACCTATTGCTAACACCTTCATTATAGCGACTCCGTCGCAGCTGGCGGCGAGCAAGTTGCTTCCAGCGTACTTTGGAATATCCTCATTTTTCCTACTCTACATTGGCCATGTGGGGTATGCTGTTATTCGGAGACGGGCTAGGATGAAGGAAACCAGTATCGAGGAGCCTGGAGATTGGTCTATAGAGCTACCTTCTACTGCGTCCAACGACAGGACAGAAGGAGCAGATTCGTCCTTACATAACACGGCCCTTTGAAAATTCATGCACCATTGGAAACAATTTGGAGCCAGAGTGACAACGGGCTGGCGCTCTTTTTTGGGACTGCGATTGTTTTGAATGGACTCGCATTTTGTAGGCTCAGAACTGTGTTTGGCGGTTTGATATCCTTATGTTATTTATAGTGACCAGCAGGTCAATCAATTATTCCGTTTTCCTGGACTCTAGAATGATGAGATTTATTGTTCTGTAATCTTTTTCTTTTCTGAGCTTTCCTTGGCAGTATAACGAGGTCTGAAAATGGCATCTCAATCGTGAAAATCCAGTTCAAACTTCAACATACCACTGTTGGTAGGCATGGGGCACTTATTCGTAGCGAGGCCCCCAAGTTCTTTTGCTAACGATCAAAGTATGAGAAGGTCGATCGAAATTTATTCCGCCGTACATGCAGCTTGAGCCGTCCTCAATCCCCCAGCCACTCAATTCTAGTGGCAAACTGAAATAGTGCGGTGCAAATGGAAGCTCACTATGTCTGTGCCGACTGCCTGAGGCAGAAAAGGGAAGGATGAGGTTTCCACATTACAGCCATTCTTTGCTCTTCCAACGGACTACCGGTACAAGGATTGTTCTTAAGGGAGATTTATCATTGACGATGACTGTGAAATCTATCTACTCTACGAGGTGAGTGGGTGTCTAAGACGGGATTACAAGCAAATCACGAAGGAGAAAAATCTTTGTTGCCATCGACAACCCGCTTTAGGAAGCGTCTGGGCTTTTTAGTACGCGGTGGGTTGGGTTGGGCCATCTTGCTAGCAGCGACGACGAGACAGGCAAATTCTGCTCCATTACCATTTCAATTAATACGGAGTAATGCCTTTTGATTTCGCCCTCCCATCTTTTCTTTCTTTGTGTACTTTAAGAACTGCTCTCGTCCGCCGGAAAGCGTCAGGTCATTCTCTACTGGGGCCACCGAGACATTCAGAGCAGATGACTGCTTTTTTCTTCGCTACCCTTCTTCCCTCTTCCTCCCCAAAACACTGATTTCCCCGAGGGTTCTCGATACACTGCAACAACAAGTTGAATATCTCCTTGTTACAGTGACATCTGACAATCCTCCTCTTTTTTTTTTTTTTTTTTTTTTTCCTTTTTCCTTACTAGCT